GCTCGGTGGGGGCCGATGTGAGCTACTGTCAACGACGTGATTATCGGGTGTAACCGTCGGTCCCGAGATTACCGGGTGTAACCGACGGTCCCGAGATTACCGGGTGTAACCGTCGCGAGATTAGCGGGACTACCACCCATAAGTAGAGGACCTCACTCCACGATCAGGTACGATAATTTCTGACCTCGAACTAAACTGAGAATCTAACCTATACTGACTTGATCGTCGGAGTGCTCACCTTTTTGTGCAGGTCCGCCCAAGTACTCAGATCGGTCCGGAGGCCGAGTTCGAGCTGCAATCTGAAACACATTGTTGTGCATATCCTTGCATAAACAGGGGGAATCAGGCGATGTAAAGAAAAGAAGATCGATTTAGAGGTTCCAGTGGCGTGGTTGAAAAATTAAAATTTTAGTAAAACTAGTCTTTTAAAAGTGTTTTGAGTGAAAAATAAATAAATAAGATATAGATAAAAAAAAAATTTCAAATCTCCATTCTTATTATTTTTTATTATTTTAAAAATTATGTTAAAGCAAAATTCACTCATAAATTTAAAAAATTGTAGCCAACTGTGTACAAATAAGAAAAAACTGAAAAAAAAAAAGATGGTAACTTAAGATGGCATATTTTATTTATTAAAAAAAAAATCCTCATTCTACTTGTATTCTGCTCAGAGCTCATCTCCTTGAAAATCAGTTCAACTTCATGTAGTCAATCTTTCCATCCAAACCTGCTTTATCAATCTTCATATCGAGTTGTTCTGTTGATTTTTCCTCAACTCTGAGCTCTGAAAAAGCTATGTCCACTTCGCGATTCCTTCTCGTTCTCCATCTTCAGCAAATTAACCACTCGGAGGCGTCGATTTCAAATGATGCTCCACGAATCCCTACTTCGCCTGCTACAATTTCTCCCTCCTCTAATGCTAGGGCTTCGGCGATGTCTGCATCCAGGTACGCATAGCGACATTTATGCTTGGATTTGTATGCATAGCGACAGACGATTTGATCTCGTATTTTTACATGGATTGGAATTCCTGTTTATTTATTTATTTCTTAGTACCTCGTGGTTGCCTCTGCACTTCTGTGTAATTTTCCAAATAATTTTCATAGTTCTTCAAATCTGTAGTTTAGTTTGGCTAATCGGAATAGTAGACAGGAGATTCGTTTCAGGCCTTTTTTACTCACTAGGAGTAGGTTTATTCCATTGAAGAGGAATATGTCATATTTTTTAATCTCCTTCTTTAAATCATTGGTATAGCTACAGAATCCTCTTCCAGATTCGTTTTGAAAGGAGCTTTCATTCCGGGAGAAATTATTAAAAAAAAAAAAATTAGAGTTTTGTTTACAGTTTTCTTTTTATTTCGAAAAACATAATCATTTTATTCTAGTATTATAAGAAATTATAAAAACTCAGATAAAGAAGAAGAATAGAAGCCTAATAAAGTTAAAATGATGTAATTTGAAGTATTAATTCTTTGAAAAAAAAAATAATAAAAAATAAAAATTGAAAAAGTAAAAAAGCAAAAACGAAATAAGAATGTGCTGCAATTTTATCTGACATGTGAAACTGAAACAAGTACATGTAATCTTGAATTTGTCAAGACTTTCTTCAAACTTTCGTTTGGAATACTAAAAAAAAATACAAAAAATCACTCCATATATCAGAGCCAGGTTTCGATCCTGGGACCTGTGGTTACGGCCCACCACGCTTCCGCCACTCTGATTTGAATATTATATAATTAATTTTTTATGTATTAATAAATTAAAAAAAAATGAGAGAGAAATAATTGATGGTCTCGATCTATGATCATAGTTTTCAGGATTTCATTTCAAATCTGTTCTCCTGCTTCCTTTTCAGTCGTTCAGTTTGTTGTATTGGCCTTCTTCTCTTTCTCATTTGTGACTTGTGACTCCATTGCTGTGTTTGTGCTATGTTCTATCATTGTTACTTTTTTATACTTTCAGATGTTCGTGTTATAGCTGGTGATAGGAACCAAAACAAAACAATTTAATTTGTATATGTATCAGTGTTAAGGTATTTATAAAAGAATAAATTTATCATAATCCATCCGCCTAAGCTTTTGAGTTTATTCTACTAAAAAACTTTTGGATTTATTGGTGATTTAACATAGTGCCAGAGAGTCCAATAATTTCATTTCCTTCCCATTTCATATTTATTACCACTTGTTGGTCCTTGTGCAAATTTCTAAGCCGGCCACTAATGAAACTAATGAAGGAAGTGTTAAGGTATTTATAAAAGATTAAATTTATTGATTGATGATTTAACAATAAACACATATATTTGAGCTTGCAAGCTCCTCTGCCTAAAACCCCTCCCAACTTACTCTATTTGTAACCACTATATTAACAAACTCCTTAATTAATGGTTAATATGCTGATATAATATCCTAATAATATTTCTAACGTTTTCCTAGAAGCTGCTTGCTTGTTCCTCTACTCGTTAAGTTAATTGCAGTTTTATGGTGTGTGTGTTAGCAGGCCAGAAGAGTGGCAGAGTTACTATCCTGAATTGCATTAGAAGAACAGTCTGTCTTCATAGTCCTCTGCCTTATATACATTTCTATTGTACCATTGAAGAGATTAAGTCTCCTTAGACTTCCCAAACTTGTACATTTATGGAAGACAAACTTGCAAGCAACCCATCATTCCTCAACTTAGAAGTCCTCAAGGTAGAAGAATGCGGTCGATTAAATCTTTTATTTCCGTCGTCATTCTCCCTCCACAACTTGAAGTCTATCAGAATAGTTCCCTGTCATGGATTGGTTCACTTGATGAATTCATAAGTAGCTAAAACCCTGGTGAAACTGCAAGAGATGCGTTTATCTTCTTGCAAAAAGATTCTACCATAATTGCAAAAGGAGAAGGAGGTGAAGAAGAGGATGAAATCGTTTTCAGCCAATTGAAGATTTTGGAGCTCTTCAACTTACCCAATTTATCAACCTTTCATTTTGGGAAAAGCAGTTTTAAGTTGCCGTGCCTGGGAAAAGTGGTTGCGAAGAAATGCCCTGAAATGAAAGCATCTTCTGGTGGAGTTGTGAGCACGCCTGAACATTACTGGTATGTCAAATGTGGATCAGACGAGGGATTTTGGACAAGCAACGTCAATGCCACCATCAACCGGCTATGGTATGATGGCCATGACACTAGCCTTCAGAGTTTGTTTATTGAACAGGTATGTGTCTATTGATTCTACAAATTTTTATTGCATGATTTTACTTCTATGCATAAATCATTTGTATGATTTTACTTAGGGGGGTGAGAAACTGGTTTGGTCGGGTGGGATCGGTTTTCATGTAAAAGGAGAAAACCGACTCGGTTTGATTTAGTGGTGAAGAAACCGAACTGATTCAGGTCGCTTTATGGCTGGTTTTTCTTTTACTTATGTTGAATTGAATTGGAAAACTAAGTGGTATCACGGGATATAGTCCTAATAGATATTTTTTTTTTCAAATGTACAAAAATCAACTTTTAATATCAGAGCCAAGTTTCGATCCTGGGACCTGTGGGTTATGGGCCCACCACGCTTCCGCTGCGCCACTCTGATCTGAATATTACATTTTTATTATTTTACTTTGTCTAACAAACCTAAACAAAATTAAAAAAAAAAAGAAATAATTTATGGTCTGGATCTATGATCACAGGTTATAGGATTTCAATTTAGATCTGTTCTGCGTTCCTTTTCAGTCGTCCAGCTTGTTCTATTGGCCTTCTTCTCTTCCTCATTTTTGACTTGTGACTCCATTGCTGCGTTTGTGCTACTATCCTTCTTACTTCTTATGGTGCATTGGCTGCGTGTTCAAACTGATTTTTCTTTTTTTGTTTTCTTTACTCAAGCAAACGATCTTTTTATAGTACTTTCATCTGTGCATGTTCATGTTATAGTTGGTAATAGGAACAAAACAAAACAATTTTATTTTGTAATTTGTATATATATCTATGTTAAGGAATCTATAGAAGATTAAATTATCCGTTAACTTAAGATTTTGGTTTGATTAGTAATTTAACATAATATTAGAATAAGATGTCCTATGGTATAATCTCTGGTTGTAATGTCACATTTTTCCTTCATTTAATCTTAATTAATTTAACATTAAACCTACATATATGTACCAGAGTTAGCAATGCGTACAAATTTTTTAGTTTTATTTTAAAGTATAAAAACTATAAAAATGAATTAGCTTTTTTTTTTTTACTAGAAAAATGAATAAGTTAGTTAGAACTTATAATATAAGTTAATTTCATAAAAAATCAAGAGGTCAATGTCATAATTAAATTAAAATTAATTATCAGAATAATACCAATTCAAAAAGCACATCTATTTGATAATAATTTTTCATTTTTCTAATAATCAAAATATCTAATTGTGAAATGGTTCCATCCTCCCAAAAACAAGTTTCGGAGTCGTGGAACATTTTAAAAACTTGGAACAGAACGGGTAACCTGAAGGGATAGTTTTTCAACGGCTCATTATGGATGTGCCTTTAACCCACAAATTGTTGCGTATTCAAAAGAATGAGGCCTATGCCTAGCCCTATGTCACAAGGATTTTGTTTCAAAAGGAAATGCCACAGCCACTTATCTAACATAGAGACCTTATTACGAAGTTTTGTTGGGTTTGTAAGGTGTGCAAACAAAGTTCCACATTGGTCCGGGAGTGATTCATGGTATATAAGGAAGAACAATTATATCTATTGGTATGAGACGTTTCAGGTGAAACCAAAAGCAAAGTCGTGAGGGCAAAGTTTTAGGTCTTTCATAAATAACAAAACAATTCCAATAATTTTGTAGTAAGAACAAAGAAAAAGTTTTAGTACGAAGAGTTAAATATAATATTGATGTAAATTGAGATATGCTTAATTACGTTGTTACTTTTGTATGCTCATAATGATTATAAATCCTAAGATAGAAAAGTTAGGCTCATTGTTCATTTGATTGACTTGATTAACAGAAAAATGTTACTAAATCTTAATCACGTTTATTATAATAATTATTATTATTAACGAGAGTGTTTTTTTTTCAGGATTTTCAACCAACCATTCAACTACTCTTTCATCAAAATTTTTATTGTTATAATCCAAGCAGCGTATAAGAATGTACAACAAACGATTGAGATAATTGATCACCCGCGAAAAAGTCGACAATGAAAAGCAAAAATGAAAGGAGAGACTAGAGAGAAGATAAATATCATTACGTTGGCTTTGCAAAGGGAAATCAAGTGAAATAAGATACCAACATGAGTATACTTCCCGAGGCACCTTACTCTTTCTTTCGGGATCTCGATCATCTATCTCTACATTTGTTGTATTAAAAAAGTAAAATAAAAGATGAGATTCTTTGAATTAGTAGCAATGTTGATAGGAGGACCATTGGTCTTAAAACAAAAAGAAGAAAAAAAAATCAAGTTTTTTATTTATTGTTTCCATTTTTTTTCCTCAAGATAAAAAAAATTATACTTATAAAAAAATATTGAAAACATTACTTCTCCAACGATAGTTAATACCGGTAAGATAATTATTACCATTAGAGCATGTTGAAAAGTACTTTTGAAGTGCTTCAAAAATTATGTGTAGATTTTCTAGCAGTTTGAATTGTAGAATTATTTTAAGATTTGTTTTATGAAATCTGAAGCCATGCACTGCCAAAACTTATGCATCTGTGGAAGGGAAGGTCACATAAGAAAGCCCCATTGCCTCAAAGTTTGGAATAATTTTATAGAGACAATTGTTTTGGACTTGGACAGGCAAATTAATAATTACTTGGATTTAGAACTGAAGACTAGATATGAACTGTTAGTGTCAGAATTTGAATTGGTGGAGCAAAGTTGATATAAGAAAAGCAACATGATAGAATATATTGTCTTTATGATAAATAAGTCACTTTGGTGGAAATAAGAGATGAGGTTCTTTGAATGGGTGGGGCAAATTAGTTGATAAGAAAGCAAAATATGACGAATATTTGGCATCATGAAATATGCCATTTTATGCCAAAACAATTGTTTTCGACAGAGTTGAATTTAGAAAAGTTCGACATTGCTATCGGTATTGAATCTAGGATGGTTATGCACAAATTAGGGTTGTCTAGAACGTTGTATCTGAAGATGGAATCAGGAAGTTGTTTGGATGATTGGATAGAAATACTGCTAAAGAGGTGTGAAGAGCTGCAATTAGTAGGATCAATTGGTGCAAGAGTTCTAACCTTTGAGTTAGTTGAAAATGAGTGTTCACATTTGAAGCATCTCCACCTTTTTAAAAATCGAGAATTTCAACATTTAATCCACCAACAGAACAAGCCTTTACGAAAAACTTTATCCAATTTGGAGGACCTACAACTTCGCTGTTTGGAGAATTTGGAAAGTATAATTGATGGGCATGGGCATGTCACAGAACTTGCTTTCAACAAGTTGAGGAGTGTAGATGTGGAGTATTGTCATAAAATGGGAACTCTGTTTTACAACTGCATGGTGGATGACATTTTGAATCTTGAAGACATTTTTATTTATGGGTGTGAGATGTTGGAATATTTGATCACTGTGACGATGGAAAGCAAAGAGACAACCGCCACTATTGAGTTTCCGCACTTGAAATCTTTAGAGCTACGTTTCGTACAACGGGTTCGAGGTTTCTGCTCCAAAATGGATCAAATTGGCAATGAGAGTTCATTCTTCAGTGAAGAGGTAAATTTCAACGTCATTTTCACAATACACCTAACTTTTTCTTCTTACTGTCGTTTCTTCTCTTATAATGGCTCTGCATTTTTTTTTTTTACTTCCTTTTAAAATTTATAGTTTAAATTTTAGTTAAATTAAAATTTTGGTACCTATAATTTTTATAAATTTCAATTTGGTTCCTATTGTTATAAAAATTGTAATTTTTGTTTTGGGTTAGTTTCTACGAGATTTGGGTTTAGTTTCAATTTAGTTACAACTTCAAAAATCATCCACCCATCACCACATTGACACTTTTTTATGCAACTATCAAATAATGTTCTCTATTTGTCTAACAGTATTAGTTGGGTTCACTAAAAAAAATGTATTATTTGGTTGTATTAGAATTTAGAGTTGAGTAAAAAAAAATATAATATAATCTATATACGAATTTTTTGAAGGGGTGAAACACAATTTATAGATGATATATGAGATTTAACCAAATTGTAGGGTTAAAAAAATTAGAATTAATTCCGAACTATAAATTAAAATTTCTAAAACTATAAAGACTAAATAGAAACTATATCGACTAGTTAGAAACTTCTAAAATTATAAGGATAAAATTGAAACTATATCCCAAACCACAGGGACCAAAATTACAATTTAACCTTAAATTTCTTCGCTTACACTCTCTAACTTATTGTTGATGCAGTTAATTTTTACAATTGTAATTATGAAAATTAATGTTTTTCTTTTTATTTATCACTTATCAATTTATCCAGTAAACTACTATGGGGCTCATGTAGCCCATGTTGGATTAATCGTATTTTGTGCTAGAGCAATGAACCTATTCGAAGTGGCTCATTTCGTACCGGAGAAGTCCATGTATGAAAAATGATTAATTTTAATTACTTCCCACCTAGCTACTCTAGGTTGGGGGTTAGGTAGGTCCTGGTGGGGAAGTTATAGACACCTTTCCGTACTTTATGTCTTGAGTACTTCACTTAATTTCCTCTACAATATTGGATTTTGGCGGTATTTATCATGCACTTCTGGGACCCGAGACCCTTGAAGAATCTTTTCTATTCTTCGTTTATGTGTGGAAAGATAGAAATAAAATGACTACCATTTTAGGTATTCGCTTAATCTTGTTAGGTATAGGTGCTTTTCTTCTAGTATTCAAAGCTCTTTATTTTGGGGGCGTATATGATACCTGGGGAGATGTAAGAAAAATTACCAACTTGACCCTTAGCCCCAAGTGTTATATTTTAATTTTGTGATGGATAAATAATGTTGGGTGTTGTGATGAAACTAATAAAGATAAAAGATTTTTAGAATTTCTGGAAGGGAAACTTTTCTTTTGACGATTTTTCAATTTGTTTGAGTAATTTAAATGACTATTAAGTATATGTTCTTCTTAGCATGCTTTTATACGAGTACAATAAACAACGATGATAGTGATTGTTGTCCTGGCTAAATTGTCAAATTATATACGTAAATTGTAGGTATTGCTTCCTAATTTGGAGGATTTGATAATTACAATGGCAGATAATTTGAAGATGATATGGCAAAACGTACTTGTTCCTATTTCATTTTCCAAACTCAAAAGGGTAGAAATTGATTCATGTAATAATGTTGAAAAAGCTTTCCCTCCAAATATAACGACCATACTTACCTGCCTTCAATCCTTAACCGTTATGAATTGTAATTTATTGAAATGTATATTTGAATTGCAAGAGCCCAATACGACAGAAAAAAGTATTGTGCTCTCCAATTTGAGGTATTTGAAATTATATAATTTGCCAAGCCTAGAGTATGTATGGAGCAAGGATTCCAGTGAGCTTTCGAGTTTTGAAAATATGGAAAGCTTGTTCATTCAAGGATGTCCAAATCTTAAAAGAGCATATTCAATCAAAGTTCTTAAGCAACAAAAAGAGCTGGGAATAGATTTCAACCAATTGAAAGAGATTCTTGAGAAGGAAAAGTTGTCAGTACATATGATGGATTCAAATCAATTTCAGACTTCCCAGGTAATTCTACATCATGTTAGAATATTTTGTCAAATAATTTTTTGTCTCTCAACGCTTTAGAAACAGATTTCAAGCTAAGTTTGATAGTTTTTATTTTTCTAAATGACCAGGCTGGGACTACACAATTGCAAGATGGTCTGGAGTTGTTTCCCAAGCTTAAAACTCTTAAACTATATGGTTATTTGGACTACAACTCAACTCATCATTTGCCAATGGAAATGTTTCGAATGGTACACAATCTTGAAGAGTTTGAAGCAAGAAGGATGTTTATTAAAGAAATATTCCCAAATGAGAGATTGATGAATGTTGAAGAACAAAAGATCAATACAAGATTTGAGCCTTCTAGATTGGGTCTATACGAATTGCCCAAGCTTAAGCATTTCTGGAAGGATGAGTTCAAGAGTAGTTCATCACTTCAAAAATTGTATGATCTAATCATATCAGGATGTGGAGTATTGGATATGTTAGTGCCGTCGTCAGTATCTTTTACAAACTTGTGGAGGCTTGAGGTGAATAAATGTCATAGACTGACCCATTTGCTAAATCCTTCGGTGGCTAAAACCTTGGTGCAACTTACATGGTTGTGTTTAAAAGAATGCAAAAGGATGACGACTGTAATTGCAAGAGAAGTTGTTGAAGATCAAGGAAATGATGAAATTGTATTCCACAAATTATACATTTTAGAACTTGAGGATTTGTCCAAATTGACCAGCTTTCATTCTGGAAACTGCAACATCAGATTTCCGTGCTTGGGAAGTGTAGATATTAGGAGTTGTCCTGAAATGAAAGCTTTTTCTCCTGGAATCACAAGCACGCCTAACTTACTAGTTGGAGATATTAAGACTGAAGGTTCCTTTAGCCGGTATGGAATATCAGGTTCAAATGGCCGGCATGTAAATACTACAGAAGTTGTTGAAGATATCAATGGTATTATCCGACAAGTTTGGGAGGACGATTATGACGATGGGATTCAATATCTGTTTACGGAAAAGGTTAGTACCTCTTTGGGTATTTCCATGGATAATAAAGTGATGATCTTCAATTATGACTTCAATCAAAACTGCTGATTTTTCGTTGTTGCACTAATTAATATGTGTTGGTGTGATTTAATGCAGAATTTGGAGGAAGACCAAATATCCGATCATCCTTCTTCTCAATGATTTTCGGTTTCGGGATGATGCAAAAGGATGACTACTATTATTAGTGTGGTAAGAAAAGTCTTTCATAATTTTTCTAAATTGATATTGCATTATGATGGATTGAACTATGTAGATATTGAGAGTTAACTGTGCTGAAATGAAGGATTTTTTCTCATGAAATTGTAAGCATGTCTCGTTTAAAATTCTAAAATATTTGATTATATGGTGACAATAAATAACATTTCCTCCCAAAAGATTCATAGATACAAGCTTAGCTTGAGAGGGTGATCGTGATAGTGCCATTGGTTCTATGTAATATGGATTTGGTGTGATTTTGTTGTGAATGTATTAAATTCAGAGTTTGGAGGAAAAGCAAATCAGATTGATGGGTCATTAATTATTTAATAATTTGATCCACAATGAAGGTCAGTCACACTTGAATTCCCTGTATATGCTAAACACTTCCAATAACCCATCAGCCATCACACTTATGCATAATATAAGTAATTGGTAATGAAGTTGTGGAATACGACTTTGGCTGGGAACTGGAAATTTTTTGTTGTACTATATAATTTAATTGCTTATAAATTGTATTTAATGGCAGGATTGAGATTGGGAGATTGCAACAAGTTAGGGAAGATGTTGGATAGTTCCATTTGGGGTGATTGAAGATTTAAAGACACTGCTCCTACTTCAACAAACAATTTGGGGATTATTTTTGTCTTCGTTCAGCGTTGCTACGCCGCTTCTAGGTTGGATAGATCTAACGTTGCCTTTAATAATTCAAGATAATTGGTAAATACTTTCCATTCTATCCTATCCTACGGTGCATTGTTTGAGTGGAAAGAAACAACCGTATGTTTTAAGATGTCTGTCAAGTCCGTCGATTTCTTTGGGATGTGTTTATTTCAAATAAGTTTCTAATGATATCAGAATTATTGTTTCTTCTAAGACGTCTAAATCATCCTTATTTTGTAATTATGACATTACTATGCTTGAATTGAACTGAGGTGCTGTTGTTTCTAATATATTATTTTTCATTGCAATAGTATATTTATCTAAAAAAAATTTATAATTTAATAAGAATACTAGAATAAAAGTGCAGATTATTATTATTAAGAGAAATTGTATTGGGTAGCTAAACTTTTATACATATTTACAAAAATGTCAACCACTTTTCTATTTTGTAAATGTGGAAAAATATTTGAATTTTTATTATTCCAGTTTTACTCTTATAATATCTGATATACACCCGATGTATATCTGATATACGCCCGATGGATGTATATCTGATATACGCCCGATAGATGTATATCTGATAAACGCCAAATATATCTCTGATATACTTCCGATCTACATCTGACGTACATCCGAGGTGTCTCTGATATACATACGTATTATACATCTAATATACTGATGTACCTAAATTTATGATATACTAAATATATTTGTAATGATATACCTATGTATATCTTATCTGATATATATCCAATGTATATCTGATGTACATCTAGTGGCATACTAAATATATTTGTAACCGATATCTGATATACATCAGTAGATATCAGTAGATCACAGATGCATCAATGTTAGATATCACTAGATGTCATGGTTATATCAATGGTAAATTAGAGACATTTTAAGTATATATCATAGATGCATCAAAGTTATATTAGTGGTAAATCATATAATCATATGAGAAGTTATATTAGTAGATATCATGGTTATATCAGTGGTAAATTAAAAGACTTATCGAATATATATCACAGATATATAAGTGTTATATCAGCATAGTAAATCAATGGTAAATTATATAATCATATAAGAACTTATATCAGTAGAAATCATAGTTATATCATACGTATATTAGTAGTAAATCATATTAGAAGTTATATTGGTAGATTCATAGATATATCAGAAGTAAATTAATTGTATAAGTATTATATTTGTGGTATATCAAAGTCATATCAATAATATATTACATATATATTAGTGGTAAATCAATAAATAGTAAATAATATAATCATATAAGAAGTTATATTAGTAGATATCTATTAGTAGATATCTGAGTTATATCAATGATATATCAGTTGTATATCAGTAGTAAATCAGATGTATATCAAGTATATATATATATATATATATATATCAATCAGTGCTATATCAATGGTATATCAATGCTAAAGGTAAATTTGACATTTTATTATTGGACCTCCATTTTTTCTAAAGTTTTGCTATATTTGCAAATCTAAAATGTAGATGTTAAATTTGTTATTTCCTTCAACTTTTTTGCCATATTTGCAACTGACCCTATTATTAATTAGGTTGTAGATACCGTAAAAAAAAAAATTAGGACGTAGATTTGGAATTTTAAAATTATACAAAAGAACAAGGTTTGGGTGTTGACACCTAAGATTCGGATTCGAGCTTTTCTGTCTCGAATTTCGATTTTAGTGTTATTCATCCCAGATAACAAGCTTGGATTATAGGAATCCAATGACATCGCTGCATTGATTATAAGGCACACTGCATTGAGATTGAACTTTATTATCTTAATGCTGAAATGGGAAGTAGAGAAGCTCTGTCTAGTCCAACTAAATCCACACGCTCTGTTTTATGGTGCAACGCAGTGGAATTTGTTCCATCGCAGCAATCGTACATTTTCTAACTATAAAATACATTTTCTAACTATAAAATACATTTTCTAAATAAGAATATTCTAGAATATCTAACAGTGCGTTTAGTTGGTAATAAAAAACAAAAATTTGAAAATAAGGGATTGAATGAAAATCAGAGTTATAGGTATTTCAAACTCAGATCTATTCTTCTTCTTCTTTTTGGAATTCTCTGAAAAAGAAATTGTTGATTCCTGGCTTCCACAACAGTCTTTGAATTCTTCAAATACCGCTTCTCGTTCAACGCCACCTTCAAATTATCGGACACTCTCATCATCAAATTCTCAGTTTTCTTAAATTTGATCCGTAAATCTCTAATGAGCAGTCTTCAATTCATCCCTCTCAGCACACAGAATTCCCAATTCCTTACTCCCTTTTTCAAGCTTGGCACCAAGTTCCTTAATCGTGAATTTCAGCAATCCAATCTTAGGCAACAATCAGTCGCTTCTTTCCTTGAAATCCTCCTTGACTTGAATCACGGCGCCGACTCGCTCTAACAATCTCTCTAATTTGTTGTCTATGGAGACGCTGGATTGTTCTTGTGCCTCAATCGGTTTCTGCTTTCGTTCCTCAACCTCGTCAATTGCTTCCTTTATTTCCATTTTTAAACAATATTTGCAGTTCAAAAGATTAGAGTTTCCGAGAAGGACTGCATTCTTGAGAGAATTCTAAGGAAATTTTGAGTGAAGAGATCAAAATTAGGAATTTATTCCTGTTTTCTTAATTACTCCTATTAAGATTAGGAATAGGAATTGTTTTTATTTTCTTAATTGTATTACACCTCTATTTTGATTTGGAATCTGCAATTATCCAATAATATACTAATATATCTTATAAAAAAGTGAGTGACATGGGTCCGGGCCCGGGCCTGGGCCTCGACCATTAACGCGAAGATTAACGAACTCGATTCAAATATATGTAATGGACCGAATCGAACCACGTTCATTGGGTTGGTTCGTTGCATTCTTACACTAGTCAAGCCACTACTACTTGGAAAGAGCTTAATAAACACCATTGATCTCGTTAAAAAAGACACAAGATTAACACAACTTCGATCATGAGTAATCTTCAATTCGTCCCTCTAGAATCTCCAATTCCTCACTCCATTCTTCAAGCTTCGCACCATGTTCCTTAATCGTAAATTTCATCGTAAATTTCATAGTCCAATCTTGGCTTCTACTTCGCTTTTTTGATCCCTTCGAGTCTGCAAAAAGGTACGGATCGCGTTTCTGTCCAAATCAAGCCCGAAAATCTCCTGCCATGCAACAATCAACCGCTTCTTTTCCTCGACTAGCAGCATCCGGCGATGCGATGAGTTGCCGACTGAAAATATCATCGTCGCGTGCGGCTGAAGGGAGAGCAGATGATTTTCCTTTGTTTCTCTCTTTTCTTTCTTTTTAGTTTGTGAGGAGAGAATAAAGAGGATTGGAAGCGGCTCGAACTCGGAGAAGTGAGTGAGATGAGCTTGGGCCTGGCTTGGGCCTTGGCCATTAACGCGAATATTTACGAACCCGGTTCAAACATATGTAATGGACCGAATCAAACCACATCCATTGGGTTGGGTTGGTTCAATTTGGATCATTGGATTCTTACACTAGTCAAGTCACTACTACTTGCAAACAGTTTAATATCACAAAAAATAAAATAGCATTAAAAGAAAGTATTCTAATGTATGGTCCAAAGTGATATTTGTAGCGTAAAATGGTAATGAGTGGAAAATAGTTTTATCATACTTACATAGGTTGGCGGTTGCTCTCCAAGGTTAATCCAACTTCTAACTCAAACATGCACTTGTTAGAGTTGAATGTAATCGAAGAACATGTCCAGAATTTTTACAAAAGTTTTTCTTCCTCGTTCAGAAACACCATCGATTTCGTTTAAAAAGAAAGTAAACAAAAACATTTTAATTGAACTAATTAATGAAAACGTTACAAAACATAATGAATTAATTAGTTAAAACATTAAATAATTAATTAAGTCACGATTAAATAGTTAATTAAAATATAAATAAAATATTTATTAAAACTTTAAAAATACAGGCAATAATAAAAATTATTATGAATAACATTTTTCTTCATTTTTTTATTGTCAAATAATTTGTAAAGGTACGTTGATACTTTTGGAATGTTTTTACTTAGGTCAGAACTTAAATTAAAATTAGGTCATATTTGCATATTTTTTAGCGTTGTTAAATTTGATATTATTTTGGGTAAAAAATTTCTAATTTTATATTATTTAATATATAAAAATAAATAATTTATAACATACCAAATTCTGTTTTTAGTTTATGTTTTTTAAAACAAAAATCATATACGTTTAATAATTGGCTTTCTTGAAAAAAATATA